CCACCTCTGCTAAGGGTCCACTGCGTTTTGGCCTTAGCTCCACCATATACTGGGGTGTTGTACCCAAGGCAGGCCCTTTTAAAATTTTCTATGAAGACCTCTGTATCATAGCCTACCTTGTATGTGGGGAATTTTTTGGAATGGGGAGCGGTACCTGGAGGAGGATTGTTAGGGCTATCTGATTGATCCAGCGTAGCCCTTTCCAGCTCTAAGCACTTCAACTCCACTTCCCAGTGCTTCACCTCTGTCCTATCCTCCACTTCTGCCTCCAAATGCTTGTCCTCCTCTTCCACGCGCTTCATCTCTAGGAAGAAATTCCATTCTGCCTCAGTTAGAACTTGGCCTGAATTAAAGGCATCCCTTCATCCTGGCATCTGGATCTCGGGTTGGGGAGGGCTGACTCTTCCCTCCTGGGAAGTTCCTGTTCCCCCATCCCCTCCCTGCATTTCTGTCATGGAGCTGGATCTCTGGGCTTGACCTGGGTCTGTCTTCTCCATCGTGCGCCACTTTGGGAAGACTGGTTTCTCTAGGGTTTCGGTGCCTGACCTCAATCTCATGCACAGTGCTGCTGTACTCTAGCCTAGCTATTCCATTGCCATGAAGCTAGAAAAAAAACCCTGCCTGTTCAACTCCCTGGCTTTGCAGGTTGAACCCCTTGCATGCCTGTTCCCTCTTAGGCAGCAAAGAAAAGAAAAGAAAAAAACTCCCTTGCTTTGAAGCAGCCAAAAGGAAAAATGTGTCCTTTTAAAATCCTGAGGTCTGTGCTTCTGGTTCAAAATGATCCCACTGCTCTGTCACCATGTCAAGGCTGATTCCCCACTCTGGCACTTGGAGTGCAGAAGTTGGGCCTGCAAGGATTCTAAAACTTAATACTGGCCACTTCAGGCTGGTATTAAGCTCCCAAGGTCACAGTTTCTCTCTGACCTTGGATGGGGAGATGCTGCCACCATCCAAGTGCAAAAAAAAATCTCTTGGGACCCAGGAAGGTGCACTTGGGAATTCCTTCCTGTGGGGTACCCTCAAGCCCTTTCACCTCCCCACCCCCACAGGGGAAGAAATGAGAAAGAAAACAAAGGAAATTACCTGTTAGCCCCAGTGAATTAAACATCATATCCACAAACCTCTTAGAACACCAAAAATCCAATCCTGTTCTTAAAAAAGGTAAATTTTATTAAAAACAAAAAGAAAGAAAATACACCCAGAACTTAGGCTTTTGCTAGATTTAAAAAACCCACTTACAAAAATTAAATATCAAGAACAACCATCTTGAGGTCCAGCTTAAAGGTTACAAGCAAAACAAAAAGAATTTGGGTTAGCACAGAGGAGTCCACAAGCCAATAAGAAATAAACAGAAATAATCCTAATTGCATCTTTCTAAACATTCCCGATCGACTTACATATTTGGGTTGTTAAATAAGTGGTTCAAGGTATGAATTGATGCTTTTTCATACCTGGTTTGAAAGCTGCTTACAGCATTGCTGCTCTGTGTTTCTGCTCTCTGGAGAACAACAACAGCACACAAAGGGAAAGGTTTTTTTCCCAATTTTAAAACGTTCTAGCTGTCCCATTGGGTCTTTTGGTCAGGTGCCCACTCCCTTTCTTTTACCTAGCCAGGAAGACTTTTTAACTAGGAAAGAAGCTTATTGGAACATCTCTGAGGGTGAGATTTAACTGCATTTGGTTTCTTACTGTATTAAGCTTAGAGTTGTGTGTTTTTGTTTTATTTTGCTTGGTAATTTACTTTGTTCTGTCTGTTATTACTTGAAACCAGTTAAATCCTAATTTTTATACTTAATAAAATCACCTTTGCTTATTAATGAACCCAGAATAAGTAATCAGTACCTGGGAGAGCAAACAGCTGTGCATATCTTTCTATTACTGTTATAGACAGGCCTTTGGAGCTGTGCTCTGTCTCCGCTCCAGCTCCAGGCAAAAACCTCCAGCTCCACTGCTCCGGAGCTGCTCCGTGCCCCAGCTCCGGGCTCCGCTCCAAAGCCCTGGTTATAGAGGGTGAACAATTTATGAGTTTATCCCATATAAGCTTTATGCAGAGTAAAATGGATTTGTTTGGGATTTGGATCCCACTGGGAACTGGGTGTCTGGGTGCTGGAGACAGGAGTTCCTGCTAAGTGGTTTTCAGTTACGTTTGCAGCTTTTGGGGGACATGGTTCAGACCTGGGTCTGTGTTTGCAGCATGCAAGAGTGTCTGGCTCAACAAAACAGGGTACTGAAGTCCAAAGCTGGCAGGGAAAACTGGCTCAGAGGTAGTCTCAGCACATCAGATGGCAATCCCAAGGGGGTCTCTGTGACCCAACCCATCACAATGCTGACATAGGTCTGACTTTCACTGAAATGCATGGAAAATCCCAGCCTAGATCTCATAAGAACATAAGAGCATCCATACTGGGTCAGACCAAAGGTCCATCTAGCCCAGTATCCTGTCTTCCAAGAGTGGCCAATGGCAGGTGCCCCAGAGGGAAAGAACAGAACAGGTAATCATCAAGTGGTCCATCTCCTGTTGCTCATTCCCAACTTCTGGCAAACAAAGGCTAGGGACACTATCCCTGCCCATCCTGGCTAATAGCCATTGGTGGAGCTATCCTCCATGAATCTATTTAGTTCTTTTTTAAACCCTGTTATAGTGTTGGCCTTCACAACATCCTCTGGCAAGGAGTTCCAAAGGTTGACTGTGCGTTGTGTGAAAAAATACTTCCTTTTATTCTTTTTAATTCTGCTCTCTATTAATTTCATTTGGTGACCCCTAGTTCTTGTGTTATGAGAAGGAGTAAATAACACTTCTTTATTTACTTTCTCCACACCAGTCAGCTATCTCGAATAGTTGGGTGAGTTCAGTAAGTGAGTTCAACCTGAAGATGTGGTCTTGATGCAACAATCACTGTGTGCAATGCTCAGTTGTGTTAGAATGTTATTTACAATGGTCTGGTTAAGTGCCCTGTTTGGAAATGCAAAATATGAACAATTACCCCATCACATTAATTTAGATATGATCAACACAAGCAGTCTCCAGGGTGATTCCTGTGCTAGCAGCACGCAGGAGAGGTAGCTTTCTTCTATAAAGCCCATAGTCATCAGAGAAAGGGTAATGAAGGTTTTGTACAATGGAATAAGCACGGTAGCAGGACCAGTCCATCCCATCAAGAAAACGGATGGGTCTTTACAGAGAGAGTGAAGAGAGAGTGAAGGGGCATAAATAAAATGAAGAGAGGAGAGTGAATGATGGTGGAACCTGCATCATGATTCCCCAAACCAGTCACCATTGATACACTGGTCACTCCTCGCACCCCACTACATTAGTCATTCCTTCACATGCACCACTGAAGGTAAGCGTTAGGGCTTGGTGGACATTTTCCACCACCTTGAACTTTTTTTTTAATTTAATTTTTCATGGAAAGTGTCTGTTTTCCTCCATTTAAAAAAAAAATCTTCTGAAAACGCTAACATATTTTGGTTTGTGGTGGAATTCTTCTGGTTTTCAGTAATTTTCAGCCCACATTTTTCAGTTTTCAGGTTTTTGATGAAAAGTTGACAGTTTGTGGGCGTGGGGGAAGACCAGTAAATATCATTATTGAGGGAAATTCTGGGGTTTATTCACTTTTTACTCAGTCTGTAATCAACACACTTCCATTGTTCTGGGGGGATGGGAATTTCCACTGAGTGAAGGCTGATGAAGAAATGCAGGCCTTCCAGTGTTCTACTAGGTGTCGGTCTGTCTGTCTCTCTCGGTTTCTGAGCATTCCCCATTCTATCCCTGTCCCAGACATGGTGTGTCAGAGTTTCTTTGATTGCCTGCATTTGATTACTCTCTGTGAAATTTTGCACTTGCTTTTCCAAGCCCCTTTTTATGCTATGAATGAGATGTAGTGACTGGATGAGAATTGTTTCCTGTGTAGCCAATTTTTGACTGTGGCAAGCCAAATCAGCTGCTCTGTAATTTTCATGGAAAATTTCCAGTTTTTGGCCACAAAATGTTGATTGTCAATTTTTTTCACAAAAAGTCAAAAATTTCTTGGAAGAAAAAAAATCCCAGTCATATCTAATGTTACATAGAGGTGTTTCACACATCTCCCTCTAGCTGTCTGATGTCTCTGTGTCTGTCTGCATGTGTTTCTCAGTGCCTGTCTGTCTGTCTGTCTCTTTGCCTATACCTTTCTCTCTCTTTCTATGGCACCTATGGTACATTGAAAACTGTGTTAAAATAATACACTATCACTTGAAATTCTCAAGGGTTCTCCTGGTCCTGCTTGCAGACCAGGGGGCTTGGTATGGAAACATGAGGTCAGTGTCTTTCAGCAGTCAGTCTTTCAGACCGCAACTTCCTATGAAAACAATAACAATAATATGTACATATATTCAGTGCAGCAAGTTGCAGTTATTTAAAAATAAAACCTATAAGCATGTGGGATTTACATTTATTCAGAATTACAGGGCCTGGTTCTGCTCTCAGAATTAGACCTGGTGGATTTATTCATCTGATGAAAGGCTGCACCATCGTTCCTGTGAAAGCCATTCCTTTTCTCTCGCTAAGCTCTTCAGACCTTTTTTAGTGTGGTCTGAAACTACCCAGTGGCTAGCATACGTTGAGGAACAAAAAATCCTTTGCGGCTCTGCATGGCTTGAATTCAGGTCCTGATTTAGTAGAGCACTCAGCCTAGATTTCTAAAGCAATTTAGGGGCTGCTGAGCTCAGTGTTGCACCGCCTAACTGATTGAGGAGCCTAAATTCCATTTTCAAAAGGGATTTGGGCACTGAGGAGTCTAAATCCCATTGACCATCAATAGAATCTGGGAAAATGAGATTTAGGCTTAGTCATTGCGATTCTGAGTGCTGAAGCACATAAATAGCTAAAAAAATCTGGCCTAAGGCACCTAGGTTGCGTAGGTACTTTTGAAAATCCCACTAGGTGCCTATCTGCAACTTTGGGTCCCTAAATGCCTTGGAAAGTCCCACCTCTGAGTTTTAATACTTTTATTTTGACCTAGATGCACCTCATAGAGAAAGCAGAAGAGGACAATCGAACGGTTATCACAGAATTCATCCTCCTGGGATTTGGGGATCTCCCTGAGCTGCAGACCCTTCTCTTCCTGCTGTTTCTAGTGATCTACACTGCGACCATGGCTGGGAACATCCTCATTGTTGTGCTAATTGTGACTGATCAGCATCTTCACACCCCCATGTATTTTTTCCTGGGGAACTTGTCCTGCTTGGAGACTTGCTACACCTCCACCATCCTGCCCAGGCTGCTGACCAGTCTCCTGACTGGGGACAGAACCATCTCAGTCAGTGGCTGTTTTGCACAATTCTATTGCTTTGGTTCTCTGGCATGCACAGAATGCTATCTCCTGGCAGGGATGTCTTATGATCGGTATTTAGCGATATGTAAACCCCTGCACTATGCAGCCTTTATGGACGGTAGGCTTTGCCTCCAGCTAGCAGCTGGGGTTTGGATCAGTGGATTTCTAGTGTGTGTAATAGTGATGTCTTTTATGTCACAATTAATTTTCTGTGGCCCCAATGAAATTGACCATTTCTTTTGTGATTTCACCCCACTAATTCAGCTCTCCTGCAGCGACACCAGCCTGATCACACAGGTTAGTTTTATACTCGTGTCCCTTGATTCACTTTGCCCATTTCTATTAACCCTGACATCCTATGTGTGTATCATCAGCACCATCCTGAGAATCCCATCCTCCACCGGGAGGCAGAAAGCCTTTTCCACCTGCTCCTCCCACCTCATAGTGGTAGCTCTTTTCTATGGGACCCTGATCATTGTCTACATGCTACCAAAATCCGGCACCCTGAGAGCCCTGAACAAAGTTTTCTCCCTTTTCTACACAGTCCTGACTCCCCTGGTCAACCCCCTCATCTACAGCCTGAGAAACAGAGAGGTCAAGGAGGCCTTGAGAAACGCTGTCAGGAGATCTGTGACCCTTACAAAGAATTTAGATTAGTTTTCTAAAATGAGGATCAGTCAATCAGGTTTCTCTTGTCAAAGCAGCAGGGTCAAGTGGCCCCTGACACCGAAGTGCTGTATGAAAGACGTGCATGTGAATAAATATATTTGTAAATTATAGAGACGGTTGGAAAATGTTTTTGGAGGTTTTTTTGGGGGAGAAACTTTTGACTTTTCATCAAAGAACTGAAAGCCATGAAAATGAAAAAAAGCTTTGTTTTTTGGAATGTGAAATCCGAAAACTTTCAGCTGGAAGTTGAAAAAAATGGTTCTGTTGTTTGTTTTCTGTTTTCTGTCAAAAAAAAAAAAGAAGTCCGTATCTCTGAGGGAAGCAGCGATTTTTCATGCAAAAGTTTTTGCTGAAATAAGCTTTTACTAAAAAGTTTTCACCAGCTCTAGTAAACAGTATGTGAATGGATGAAGAGCTGGTAGCTGGTGCTCAAGAATATGTATTTTTTTTAGGACCAATAAAAATTATTGTTGCACACTGCAAATTGGCTTCCTTTGTTTAGTTTTGTATGTGGAGTTCTTAATAATCCCCATCTCAGTTCCATTGGATACTCCCTTCCAATCTGCAAGTGTTATGATTTATTTCTTGTTCATAGTTGCATTGCTCTGTGCTTGCTTCTTTCCCGCAAGCAGAGAATCCTAGAATCCTAGAAGTGTAGGACTAGAAAGGACCTCGAGAGGTCATCTGCACATCTGCATTCATGGCAGGACTAAGTGTGATCTAGACCGTCCTTGACAGGTGTTTGTCTAACCTGTTCTTAAAACCCCCTAAGGATGGAGATTCCACAACCTCCCTAGGCAATTTGATCCAGTGCTTAACCACCCGAATAGGAAGTCTTTCCTAATGTTCAACCTAAATCACCCTTTCTGCAATTTAAGCCCATTGCTTCTTGTTCTATCCTCAGAGTTTAAGGAGAACAATTTTTCTCCCTCCTCCTTGTAACAACCTTTTATGTACTTGCAGATGGTTATCATATACCCTCTCAGTTTTCTCTTCTCCAGACTAAACAAACCCAATTTCTTTAATCTTCCCTCATAGGTCATGTTTTCTAGACCTTTCATCATTTTTGTTGCTCTTCTCTGGGCTTTCTCCAGTTTGTCCCCATCTTTCCTGAAAAGTGGCGCCCAGGACTGGCACAATATTCCAGTTCAGGCCTTATCAGCACAGAGTAGAGTGGAAGAATTACTTCTCGTATCTTGCTTACAAGACTCCTGGTAATACATTCCAGAATGATGTTCGCTTTTTTTGCTAACGTGTTACACTGTTGACTCACATTTAGCTTGTGATCCACTATGACCCTCAGATCCCTTTCCGCAGTACTGCTTCCTAGGCAGTCATTTCCCTTTTTGTATGTATGCAATTGATTGTTCCTTTCTAAGTGGAGTACTTTGCATTTGTCATTGTTGAATTTCATCCTATTTACGTCAGATCATTTCTCATTTGTCCAGATCATTTTGAATTTTATTCCTATCCTCCAAAGCACTTGCATCCCCTCCCAGCTTGGGAAAAGGAATGGTCTGTGCCCCAAGGAGATCAGCGTGCCCCTTACATGGTGCCCCTTTCTACTCAGTTGTGCAGGGACAGGAGAAAGAGGGGGCCCTGGACTCCCAACCCTGCCCCCCCCATGCACACACCTTCTTTCCGCCCTGCAAGAGTCACACTTCGGAATTAACCCACTCTTCCGGGGCCGGGGGAGGGAGGGGACGCGGAGGGCCACAGGTGGGGTGGGTGCGGAAACTCGGAGATTCATAGCTTTTAAGGTGAAAAAAGTCCATTCTGATCATTGTAGTCACAGCTGCTGCCCAGTAGAGACCAGATCAGGCCAGCCAGGGATTGGTCACTCAGCCCCAGCACACTGGGGGCTGGTGAAGATTTGGGGGAGCTCAGTAAAACTGCCAGGCCCCACTCTCGCTGTCTCTACCCCAGCCTGGTGTGGCTGTGAGGCCCCAGCAAGGGAAGAATGGGTAATTGGGGAGCGAGTTCACCCCGCACTTACCCCACAGCAGTTATCCCTGCACTTACCCCACATCTCCTGTGGGACTGGGCTTGGCTTCCCGCTCCGGTACGTTGGCTCTCCTCACTCACAGATTTGCTGTGGGGGCTCCTCTCAGTGAGTGGGGGGCTGAGCTGTCTGACCACCCCAAGGGGACAAGGATGTGGAGGGTTAAGGAGGGAAAAGGTCCCTAGCACCACATACAGTGAAGGTGGGATGCTGGTGCCAAGGTAAAAGTGTGAGGGGCCCTGTGTGTGTATGTGGGGGGTTCCAGGTGAGCTCCAGGGGATGGGAGTGATGGAAGAAGGGAGAGGGGTTTGGTGCAGCCAAGAGTTGGGGGTATTTGGGCTGATGTGTAGGGTAGATGGACCTGGGTTTTGGGGGCTGCAGAAGGGATCTGGGGGGAGTAAGGGGCGGTGGTAGGGGGCTGGGGGTGAAGATAGAGGGAGGCTGCACGGAGGGAAGTGGTTTGGTGTCAGTGGGGGATGGGGGTGTGTGGGCAGTTTTCAGAGGTGGGTTTATTGGGGAATGGCGCTGGGGAGGCGGTGACCGGTGTCAGGGGAAGGTCTGGGTGCAGAGGGTTGGAGGGGGAGGCGACTGGCAGGGTGATGTTTCCAGGGGGCATTTATCTGGGGGGTTGTGCCATGGGGTGGGTTTATGTGGGGAGAGGGGGGTTGGTGGAGTGGGGAGGTGGGATGGGTGTGGAGGGGTGTTGCAGGAGGAGGTTTTGTGGGGTTTGGGTTTTTCTGGGGAGGGTTGGAAGTGTTTATTTGGGGATGGGGCAGGAGGGGGTTGGATGGGATTAAACAGGAGCACAGTGGGGTTGGGTGGGAGGCTGAGGGGAAGGAGGTAGGAGCTATAGGAGGGGGTTATTTGGGGATCTCTGGGGGATTGAAGGGGGTGTGGGAGGGATGGGTGGGAGCTGTGGACAAATCCCATGGCTGTATGTTGGGTAAATTGATTTTTAGTTTGGAAACCATCCATGTATTTTCTGTCCCAATTAATTCTCTCTGACCCTGTGATAAATGAAGTGTGGGGGTGGGGAGAGGGTAACTCCCTTTTATGGACACCCAGCCAGCCAGCCCTTCATTTAGCACAGACCCCAATGAAACGGCCCATTTTTCTGGTGATCTCACCCCAGTGCTAAAACTGTCCTGCAGCAACACCAGCCTGATCAGGCTGGTTCTTTATATATTTACCTTCCTAGATGTAGTTTCCCCATTTCCATTAACGTTGACGTCCTATGTTTGTGTCATCAGCACCATCCTGTGAATCCCGTCCACCAGTGGGAGGCAAAAGGCCTTTTCCACCTGTTCCTCTCACCTCAGCATTGCAACACTTTAGCATGGGACCATAATGCTTTGTGCTTGTCTCTTTCCAGAGAAGACAGAAGGAACGGTCTGAGCCCCAAGGAGATCACAGTAGTTTAGACTGTGATTTTCCTCTACTCAGCTAACCAGGGGCGCTGGAGGGGGAGATGGTTGCAGTTTCACAACCTCTTGTTTGCAGCTTGCTCACCAGATACTTGTCCCTGCAAGTGTCATGCTGCCCCAGGGTGATCAGGGCCTTCATTTTTGAGCTTTCATTTTTTTAAATAAAAGTAGAAATATGTCATCACTATTTAACAGTGAGGGCATTTAGTCATTGGAACATCAGTGACCATTTTTAAATCAACATGGGATTTGTTCTAAATCAAGATCTGCTTGGGGAATTATTTTTGGGGAAGTTCTATGGCCTGTATTATACAGCAGTTCAGACTGGATGACCACAGCGGTCCCTTCTGGCCTTGCAATCTGTTAATCATTTATCTCTCGCCAAAAGCACACCTTGCTCACAACTTGCTCTTTTCTTTCTGCGGCATTGGTATTGAAAGAACGAGGGAGAGAGAGAGGGAGTACTGGTGTGGAGGGAGAAAGATTCAGGAGATGAATTAATACAGAGATTGTACTTAGATTTCTTTAAGAGAGGTAATTCTGTGGACAAGACTTTCAATTATGGGAGCCCAAAGAACAGCTTCTAAACTGGGACTTTCCAAGGGACCTAGAGGAGCACTAAATAAGAAAAATAAATGAAAAGGGCTAGATAAAAATGAGCAAGTCAACAAAAAGCCAGCCATCCACCTTAAAGTCCTTTGTGGATTATATTTGTCTGCAATTGACCAGCAAGGCAACTATGGAGCGTTCTCAGAGTCCTTTTACCAGAAACCCCGAAAACATGAGAACCTGGTGTGACACACTGTACCTCCAAATAGCGCACTGTAACCCCCATGTTCATTGTTCATAGATGGTTGTGATATTCCATACAGAGCATGCTATGTAAGATATCATAAGAAAGGTCATGATTTGCTGAAACCTGTTGTTCTATCCAAACATGTATGTCATTAGTGTGTATGAAATTATGAGATTTTGCTGTATTGTTGTTACTGAAATATGTTGTAAGTTTGAGAGACTCTACTCCCAGGTGGGTGTTAACAAACCACTGATCAAGTCTATGACTCAGTTGTACAAGTCCACCACAATGGGGGTTTACGTGATCACTGTGACTCAGCAACGCCCACCAGGACATGTCGGGGCAAGTGTCTTCTAGGCACATTAACTAAGGATATAAAACAGGGGACTAGGGCATCATGCTTGGGCCTTTCTCCTCCCTCACCTATGCCGGAAGCAAGAAGAATGCTGGGGAGACAGAAGACTTCAACAGAGGAGACTGGTCCCAGGCTTGAGCAAGAGTCCTGTGTATTGTGAACTGCAACATCCAGTGGGGTGAGAAAATTGCTTGTTCTAAATACTGTCTAGTGTGATAAGGGTTAAGATTTAGATTATGCACTTATCTTTTATTTTCTTTGGTAACTATCTCTGACCTTTTAAGCCTTCTACTTATAACAACTTAAAATCTATCTTTCTGTAGTTTTACATTTTACCTAAAACTGTATTTCAGTTGAAGTTCTTGGGGAATCTCAACTCAGGTTACAAAGGCTGGTGCATGTTCTCCCCAC